AGTTGCTGCATATGCACAGTAGCCCCCAAAGCTTACTTGTAAGGAACTGATGTTCATGATGGAACTATGCTACATGGATACAGGAGGGGCAAGGGAAAAAGGGGAGTAAATATTATTTATTTCAAATCATAGAGAGGGGAGCCTAAATCTTATCTTATCTAAACAGATAGTAACCCTTTATAAGAATATGTTTAGCTACTGACCTAAGCAGGGCCATGCATGACTGTGCTCACTAGCCTATGCTTATCAGTTAAGTGCTCAAAAACCAATGGGTACAGCCCTGTATTGGCCATACTTTGCTCTAAAAAGTGGCTCTGTCACCCCTCCTTCTAATATGAGTATTTTATAAAAGATAAAAGCTTTATGAAAAAAATCACAATGACTGTGTTGTAATTCCACTGATCCTCCTTAGACCTCAGTATTGTACTTTTGCACATGCGCAATAATACAACACAGGAGTGGGCTTCTGGCAGATAAAGCGGCAGAAGCTGAAGAGTACCGACCAGATGAAGATGGCGGTGGCCACAATCAACAGGATTGGGTAAGTAAAACTTACCTTTCCCCATAGCCACCTCACGTTGAGCACAGCAGTCACCATAGTTACTTTAAAGGGATAATTCCCTCCTCCCTCCCTCATGCGACCTCCAGTCAGTGAATCAAGGGTTAAAAACCCTTTATTACTAGACAGGTTTTGGAAAGACCTGTCGGATTGGGCATACCCTGGCTGGGCAGGGTCCAGGTTATAAAAATGAACCTGCTCCCACGCCTACTATACCTCATGCAAGCCCTACCCATTACCATCCCCAGATCATTCTTTCAGACCCTGAGACAGGAAACGGGGAAATATGTTTGGGACCGCAAGAGACCGAGGGTCAAAATAACCGCACTGACGCTGCCCAAAGACGGGGGGGACTGGCCATACCAGACTTCACCCTGTACTACGAATCATGGAGTGGACAAAAGAGAAGGTGCATAAGAGATGGAAAGACGCAGAGGAAACGGATGCGGGGATACCGCTGTCCACCGTCCCATGGCTAGGGAGAGGAGGGGGCGGAGGACAGGGCACACCCTACACAACCGCAACCCTACGGGTGTGGGAGAGAGTAGCAAAGAGATGCAGACTAGCGCCATTCCCGTCCCCCCTACTCCCTCTCACGCATAACAACAGTTTCCCACCGGGGCTAGACCCCAACACATTCAGGGACTTAATCCGACATAAGATACCCAGACTACACCACCTCCTGGCAGGCACAAAATGCAAAACACTCCCGACCCTATTAGAGGGAGCAACCCCCACCCTCCTACACCACCTAAAACACAGACAGCTACAGAGCTATGTACCCACCCTCCCGGGTGGGCACGGCATGGAAACGTGACCCTACCACATTCGAAAGAATGTGTATGCACCCAGACCCGCAACCACACGGGATCTCACTCATTTATTCCATGTTACAGAGGGAAACACCAACGGAGAAACCCAAATTCATGGGGAGATGGGAACAAACACTGGGGAAAACTTTCACAGACGGAGACTGGGAAAAGATATGCTACTTAACGCATCACTGCTCAGTCTTCAGCAAAACACAAGAAATGGCGTTTAAATTGTTAACGAATTGGTACCGCACCCCGATTACACTCCATGCCATAGACCCGAAACACACGGACCTCTGCTGGAGGTGTAATAGGGAGGCCGGCACAGTACTCCACCTTTGGTGGGCTTGCGAAGCCATAAAGCCCTTCTGGCAGGGTATACACGGCTTTTTCAAAACCTTCTCAGACACGCCACCCCCCTTCCTCCCGGAACATATGCTCCTTCACCATACAAAGTCACCTAGAACGCGATACAAGCACTCACTAACCATTAGAATTTTAAACGTTGCCAAACTGGTGATCCCTCAATTCTGGAAGCAACAAACGACACCCCCGTTGACAACCTGGTTCTCCCAAATGGAGGAACTCAGAGCCATAGAGGAACTCATCATGACCGCATCCCACTCCTCAAATAGGTACATGGAAATATGGACCCACTGGATACTGACTACTACCAAGGCAGAATTCACAACCAGACTCCAATATGACACGTAAGGACGCAGTGACGAGGCTGCATAGACCGACAAACACAGAGACGACCTAGACAGAAGGGACCAAGACGCCGACGCACCCCCACCTCCCCAGACTACCCTGATACCCCCCCACCCCAAACACTGCACACGAACAGACAAGTACTAGGCATACGCCAGTGACAACATAAGAGAGGACCTATAAGGCCTTCTTGGAGACGCTCACTTCCCCATGAGGGGACCACAGAACATATGATACCCACATGCATGTTCTCCAGATCAGGCAACGGGCCTTAACGCTGGGCTCAAAGGGACCAGCGGACCCACCCTGGCACCTTAGCATCTACTAGGGGTAATGCCCGACCACCTCACTACAACGAGACTTGTGAGCCCAACACACGACTATAACACCTGCTACATAGTGACCTGCGCGTCACCAATGCTGGTTTGGCAGACCGTCATTCCTTTCAAACGCCTGCTTTTGTCTTACCCTGAGTGGACCTGCGAGTCCACACTGAAGTTTGCTTAATGTTACTTAACAAACGGATCAACTGAATACAAACGATAAACCAGTTTAGGGACAAAAACTGCACGCTGTAAGGGACCTGCGAGTCCACCGCTAATGTGGGCTTATGCGTCCGAATGATTGTCCTAAATACACACGTTATACACACGTTGTGCTTTGATTACTGTACCCTAAATGCATATGGAGACCTGCGAGTCTCAATGTGATTCACTTTCGACACTGTAAACCGAAATAAAAACATATTTACTAAAAAAAAAACCAAAAAAAAAAAACCTTTATTTACTTATCTGATACCAGCGCCTATGTCCCTCGTCGCTGGGTCACGACTTGGCCTCCTGCGACGAGTAGGCGCTAATGCACATGAGAGGCAAATGCAACGCGTGCATTAGACCTCCCTATAGGAAAGCATTGAATCAATGCTTTCATGTGGAAAAACATCTGACGCTGGATGTCCTCATGCAGAGTAAGAGGAAGTCCAGTGTCAGTTACCGGACCAAAGATGCGTTAGGATCCAGGAAGCGCCACCAGTGGCTGTCTGGGAGACAGTCACTGGAGGCATATTTAGTGCTGCAATGTAAGTTTCTCTGGAACTGCAATGTTTTACATTGCAGTACTAAGTGCAATAGGCACACTGTACCCAGACCATTTCAATAAGCTGAAATGGTCTGCGTGTCTATAGTGTCCCTTCAAGAAATTCAGCTCCTTCAGTAGTCGTCAGCGCATTATACTAAAACAGCTTGACAAACCAAGGTGGGAAGGCACCAGGGCCCTCCTGGTGCTATAATCACTACTTCACAATTAATCTGTTGTGTCCTAAAGGGTAAACTCCCTGGTCAATTACCAGGGTAGTGGATAGTAATAATAGACATTAGCTTTAAAAAATTAGCTTGAAGCGATTCATCCAAATAAAATCCCTGGCTATCTTTGAACTAATAGATTCCGAATCGCTTGTACCTGTATTTTTATCGGAGCAATATACAGCTGAGATTGATTCAGAATTGCTTTGTTCCACGATTGATTAAGAGAAATTATATTTAGACAAATTGCTTAAAATTATATTTTTTTTGCACAAGTGTAAATAATAGTAATATTTAGAGATGTTTTCATCCAAATGTGAGCCTCTGATCGGTCTTAAAGGAACACTAACGTGCCAGGAATACAAATCTGTATTCCTGACACTATAGTTGTAAAATAACAGCTTAGGATCTTGGTCCCCTTACCTCAGGTTGAAAAGGTGAGTTTACTTACCTTTTTCAAGGGCCATGCAGGTCCATCTAGAGTTGTTACTAGGCAACATATTCTCTGAAAAGGCAGTGCTTACATTAAAAAGCCTGCATTGACCGGTATCTACAGCTGTAGTTGTTCTGGTGACTATAGTGTCCCTTTAAATGATGCTGCCAAATGTCTTACTAAGAGATCATCAGTAAACATCAGTAAATGACCTAAGATCCAGAGGTTGCCTATTTTTGTTAAGAGTATAAACATTTTGTAACAATTGTAACCATTAGAAAGCATGAAAGAGTCTTAGCGGATAAAAGCAATACAACAGAGAGACAGACTCACACCACATTGTCAATTAGAAAATAGATAGTAAAAATAACCAAAACAACCCAACACATATTTATATAGTTACGTATTTCTATAGCTATTCAATGTAAGGTCTAGAGAATTTAAAGTGATTTTTAAATGTTAAGCTAAAAAAAAACTAACCTTTAAACCTAGATGACTTAGAGAATTTTCCAATTTGGCTACTGTGATTTAAAACGTGAAATTCACTTTGAATCCCTGATAATTCACACTTTAGTAAATAACCCTGGCTGTCATTAGACATGTTATATATTTTCATAACATTGTGATTTATGGGATCTATTAGTTATGTCACCTGAATACGTACCACCTTCATACATACCTATCCCGAGTATAACTATAGCACTTTTCACCACCCGGGGCTCCCGGTGTCGCTGCCCCTTAGAAATGACAAGTGTTTAAAATTCAGTATAAGGGTACCCCGCAACACGGTAAGGGTGTACCAAAATGGCGGCCGTGCGATAAACTCCTACCATGCAAATGAGGCGGCCGCTAGGATCTTCTTTACGCCACTAGGCTACTATGGACAAACAGCGCAGGCCTGTTTTGGTTTCAGAGAGTTAAAAGACATCGGAGACAAAAACGATACTGAGTTGCGGAAATTTAGACGAAGGACGCCATTTTGTAGGAGTCCACTCTCTCGCATATTATCAATACTGAAGGATGCAGCAGTGGAGTCGAGTGGATGCAAATCTCTTTTGTTTAGACCTCTAACTAGATTTGCGTTACAGAAAAAGGCTTTTTTTTTTTCAACAGCCTTTATTTATTATTTTATCACTGAACACAGTGAGTGGTAATGTTGTCATTGATGATGTAACCACATGTGAATGGAAGCGAGGCTGCAGTAGCAGTGGGCAGAGTAGAGGTTAGTGAGTATTCTGTAAAATGGATACATTATGTTTATATTTTTTTCCACACCTGTACTCCAGTCCTGTATACCTGACATGTAATATGCTGCAGTAAGAGCTATGTAAATACAGACTGTATACCTTCCAGGTAAACATTACCAGCAATGTGAGATATTTAAATCCTCAATACTAGTGAATGTTTCATTTATTTCATGTTACACATGTATGTATACATTATGTTTTACCTGGTTCAACAAGGTGAACATGAAATGAATGCAATATATAATTTTGTCCAGTCTGATGCTGCACATTGGTTGGTGTAAAGTGGTATTGAATTATTTGCTTTGGTTTAAAAAAAAAAAATAAAAAAAAAAAAATTAAATTGTATTGTTTATTTTTGTAGTGCAGGCAAGTACAATAAAATGTGTAATAACATTATAACAAGAAGATTTACGGCACCATTCCCGTTGGATTTGTCAAAATAACATGTTGCACTTTTTTTTATAATAGTAAGTTAACATGCGAGGCTGCTATGTCTATACAGGACTATATGAGTGCTTTAAAGCAGAAAGCTTCATAAAGGAAAAACTAGTGAAAGTATAAAGATATATCTTGTCGATTTAGAATCAGACATATTTGCTGTTTTTAACAAGACATGAAAAATATGCCAAACTGCAGATCTCTAAGTTTTAGATTTTTTTTTTTTATAACTTCCCTTCCTGTTAGCCTTAGTGCCTCTGTATTATGTTTTGCACAGCTTTATGAATACACTTTCATTTTGCTGCATGCCGTTTTATATTGTATGCTCAACTTTGACATAGTGTGTATATGAACTTGCAAGTGATGTGACCTATTTCCTGTGTAATTTCTTTCACTTGAATTAACATTTCCAATCTAGCTCTCTAATATCTTTGCTTTCATTTGTACAGGAATCAGGATGGATCAAATTTCTCCTGAAGCCCATGGATGGTCTATTCTTCAGAAGCTGAATGAACAAAAATCCATGGGGCTTTTTTGTGATGTCTCGTTAATGGTGGAAGGTAAAATATTTCTTGCCCACAAAAATGTCCTTTCTGCATGCAGTGAATACTTTTATGCAGCACTGAGCAGGAATGAGCAGCAGCAATTCCTGGTTCTTGACAATGTTTGCTTAGAAGGCTTTAGTCATCTTCTGGACTTCATATACTCGTACAAAATCCCCTCATGTCATGTACAAGACTTTATGCAGGCTGCCCAAGTCCTTCAAGTTAGCTTGCCACTCACAATTGAAGTTGTCAATGTTTCCAGCAGCCCGCACACTAATGCTCCAAAGGAGGAAATTTGCATTCCAGATGAGGATTACGATGTCCCTGACCAAAACTTAGAGATAAGAGAAATTGAGAGCCAGCAATTAAAAAGAAATCGTGATGATAACATTTCTGGCGTCAACAGTTCAATCTATAGTGAAGAGAGAAGAAGATTTGAGACCGTATCCCAGCTGAAAGACAAAGCCAAAATGTTCAAAAAACCTACATTTTATAAAGATTCCTTTGCCATCAGAAACCCAAACTACTTTATCAGCAAACAAATCGGCAAAAGTGCAAGGATGGGAAGAGGAAACCCCGAAGAACCTCGAGAAAGTTCCTTCCACAACCCTGCTTTTGCTAGGCAGATGCCTATTACAATTCACAATGATGGATCTTCAGAGGAAGCAGATGATGAGGCAGCTGACATTTGCATTAATTTATGTGATGAGCAAGATACCCCTGATATTTTGGCGTCTCACACCATTAATGATATGAGAATGCAGAAAGAAACTGTTAAGCCTAAAATTTATTCAACAATTGTTGGTTTGCAGGGTGGTGGAGTATTGGAACGAGTGGACAGTGAAGAAAGACATTCAGAAGTGGTACACAAATGTGATAGGTGTGATCTTCTACTTACCTACTCAGAGTACCTCAATCACCAAGATGATCCAGGAGTGAACTTGCTTCATTGTAACTTCTGTGAAAAGCAGTTCAATTACAGGTAATAATTACTCTATAACTAAACACTTGGTTAAAAGGACACTTCATACCCCTAAAGATCTTCAGCTTGTGCTGAAGTGCTTTTGTGTGAAGTGTGTGTTTTTCAATTCTACACGAAGGGCAGAGTCCTATGGAAATTAGAACTTTTATAAATACACACACACACACTCTTTATCTCAGCAAATGCCCAGAGCACTTGCGTTGCATTGATTTTTTTATTGAGCTGCATTGGGAAATCTGTGATTGAACAGCTACAGAATGTCTGTTCAGGGTTAGGAGGGGAGGGTTTTCAAATAATTCATACAAGGGAACTGTAGCTTTTGCAAGCTGTTTTTAGAAGTACCCCCCAATTAAAAAAACAAACAAAAAAACACTAAAACATAATTAAATGCATGCAGGTTTTCATTGGCGCTATATCCACTAAACATTTTTATATTTAATTACGTATGTATTTGGGCAGTGGAGTATCTCTTTAAAGCCAAATGTAAATACAGCCTGTAACACTGATGCAAATTAGACTAATGTCCAACATCGGGAGGTATGAGACCAGGATGTGAGTGGGAAGACCTTTTGGCATGTTTGGGTGGGCCTTGCCTTGGAAATGGCCTGTCATGTAGATTGTGCTGCTGAAACACTTTTGCATGGTGTGTTGGTGTTTGATTGTATGCATATGCACTGCTGCATACGTACATGTTTACACACACACACGCACGCATGCATGCACATACCTTGACAAAGATACATACTGATAGATACACTTTGACACACACACTCTCATACATACACACACACACACACAAAATCTGACATACTCATAGACACATACATGTTATCATTTAAAAAAAAAAATCTTTATTTGAGTTTTGTTTTTTCACATAGGAGAGAAATAGAGATGGAAGAACTTAAAGCATATGTTATAACCTTGGTCACATGTATTATGCATCGGTGACATGTTATAATTTTTATATTTGCAGCCACCCTCCTGTTAGCTTACCTTTTGTGTGCAGGAGGGGTGCTTGCCTGAGGTCCTGATGGCTGAGGCTGATTGGAGTGAGTGTGAAGCTCACTCTTGATTCTCTTCCAACAGCTGCTGCCTGTGCCACCGCCTTCTCCCTCCCTCGTGGCCTTCTATTTAAGCTGGGAGGAAGTGACTGGCTTTCACTTCTACCCAGCTGGCCAAAATCACAGGGGCCCAGCTACAGCGCCCAACCATGCCCCTGTCCAGCAATACAGAAATAATAACTATTGGGTGGCCCTAAGTCCATGGACCCCCAAAGCGCCCAAAAGCACTGGCTGCTCCGGCAGCAGCACTGGCTGCACCTAGCTGATGGCGCTATTTCATGCTGACTCTTGGCCATTTGACTTTTATTTGTTGGGTTACTAGCTATGTGCTAGATATCCATTCCAGTTGTTAAGCGGCACTGTCACTCCCTGCCACTCTCATGGGAGAAAAAAATTGTATTTCATAAAGATAGAATCTTTATGAAATACTCATATTGTTGGATTTTCGCTGAAGGGAATTGGCTTTGTTTATGGAGGATCTTGTAGGATCCTCTATAGACCTCAGGGCTGTACTCTCATGCATGTGCAAGAGATCAGCAGTGACGTTTCTCTGAATGAGCTGAAGAGGATACAGCCGGGGACAGGTTCAGGTAAATAGAATTCACCTTTGCCTGCCCCACCGAACCCCCAAAGGCAATGTCACCATCAGGGGGTCCTTGCAAACTCTGCAAAGTCACCAGAGCTGAGAGTTCCGCTTAATCTCCTGCACATAGGTTTTTGACCTTTAACGCTAACTCAGAAGACCCCTTTGCTGCTTGATTTGATATAACCATGTTATATTATTGGATTACAATAACTGGTGCCCATTACACATTACAATACTGCAGCATTATAATATGTATTTATTCATAAAGCTGGAGTTTTCCTTTAACATTGGCTGTTAAACAAAGTAGAGTGTTACTACCTTTTGAGCGGTTTTGTTACAAAGCGTATTTCTTTATTCTGCTCCTCATTTAGTTGCCAGCTTGCTCTGCACCAGTCCAGCCACCTTGACAAGAAGTTCTACCAGTGTGAGCAATGTGGGAAGGAGCTAAGTACCCTCAAGAAATTGCATGATCACATTGCGTACCACTCGGATGCCAGACCCCACAAATGCCGACTTTGTGATAAAGCCTACAAGGTGAAAAGTAAGTACTATGATAACTTGCTGCAGTAGTTTATGTTTGCCTTATGTTTGTCTACATGTTTAAAACTGCATAAATATTGTCGGGAAGTGTGAGGGGATAATTTTAGAGACTTTGCAATTTGGTTCCTTGTGCAAAAAAAATAATTCCATTAAAGGACCACTATAGGCACCCAGACCACTTCAGCTTAATGAAGTGGTCTGGGTGCCAGGTCCATCTAGTGTTAACCCTGCAGCTGTAAACATAGCAGTTTCAGAGAAACTGAGAAAACCAGTCTCTAGTGGCTGCCTCACAGTGAGAACACGCCAGCGTCCATAGGAAAGCATTGAGAATGCTTTCCTACGGACTGACTGCGCGAGCGGCTCTTGCTGTGCATGCACATTCAGCCGATGACGTCCAAAGGAGGAGGAGAGTCCCCAGCGCCAAGGGAGCCCGGCACTGGAGAAAGGTAAGTGATTAACCCCTTCCTCCAACTAGTTTGTTTTCCTGGCACTATAGTGGTCCTTTAATAGCTTAGTGGAATACAGTTTGAGAATAACATTTCTGAAACATTGGTTACTTAATAGCACATATTTGTGCATTCTCTGTTTTTCTTTGGCAAAGATTCTCCAAGTTGACCTGTCCACTTTCTTGTAATGCACAAGAAGAAAGGAGAAAAAGTAGATGTATTTATCTGAAGCTTTCCCTCCTCTTCACTGCCATCTTCCAGTTCAGCTTTTAAAGGAACACACCAGGCACCATAACAACGTCATCCCCGATCAGCTGACTATAAGCAACATCCAGTTTGAGGCGTTCTGATTGAAGCCTTTGACTGAAAAGGAAGTGAAAGGGTTGAGCCGAGGGGTGCCTTATTAAAGACTTTAGGGATAAATGGTACCTGTCATGACAAATATAACTTAATTTTAAATGATAAAGAATCAAATTTAATCTACCGTATACATTGCGCTAGCAAATGTCTAGATTTCTCTAAAATCAGAGGTTAAAAAACTGAAGATCACAGTCTCACCATATGTGTTTTGAGCTTCAAAAAATAATGAAAACCTTTATGGAAAAGGGCTTTTGAAGTACTATCAGAACTGGTTGGAGAAAATTTTCCATTTTAACATAAGAAAATATTACAACTTAAAATGGATATTTAATAATTCAGCTCATGGCTACAAAAATTGTAATCTCAAGATATTGGCTACAGCAAGAAATTGCTACCAGGGTCCATGTTCTAACACCGCTCAAATATCAATATAATATGGAAAGGGGTATTTAGTTTCAAAATTAAAATAATCCTAGCTTTGAGAAAAGATGGTCGCGCTGGTTAATCTCCCTGATACAACTTTGACCCAAAGAACCCACTCTATTATGGGTCTTTCCCTACACTTATCGTATACATTCGTGCATTAAATCTCTGGCCTGACCACTGCCCAAATCTACTCTGTTATATTTCTTTCGTCTTTTTTTTGTCTCGTCTGTCTGTTTTCTTTAGTGCATAACTATTTAATATATATTTTTGAATTCAGAAAATGCTTTGTATAGTCTTATGTGAAAATCATGTAATTAAAAATAAAGAAGTCATAGAAAAAAACAAAAACAGTCCTTTCTCCCTCTTCTCAGTCAGTTCAGGTAAGAAGCTGTACATGTTTGTTACTCTCTTCTTGGTGTCTCTCCTGCTTGCATTTAGCCTAAAGGAAAGCAATGTCTGCAAGAAAAATAAGGATGAAGGGCCAGGCTCTTTGTGAAAGCAGCACTAGTAGCATCACAGATAGAGGAGATAATCAGCCAGAATAATTTATTGCAGCAGCTCTGGACAGGCAATCTGAGAATGGGGAGAGAGAACTGATATGTTTTATTTAAACAAAGCCAAAGACTTTTGACCTGTTTCGGGAAACTAGTCTAAGCTTCCAAAACATTGGTATGCAATAGAGGTGTGTCTTACAGCAAGTGTATCACCCACTGAAAACAAGATAATACTTTCATCTAATAACATGGTAATGGAGATACATTAAAAAATAGGTTTTTAATAGTTTCAAGGAAGAAACACTTAATTGTATAATATGATAAAACTGCAAACATATATCTGTCATGATAGACTTACTTTAACAGTTTAATCCCTTGAGGTAAACTGGCCCCCACGACCTCCTCACACAATAACCATTTCATTATGATTAATGTAGAGATGAGAAAGTTTGTAGATCTTCAGAAGTATCTGTATTCCTGCATTATGTTTAATAAAAGTTATCTGATAATGATCAAAATCGAAATAATAAGTTTAGGGAGGGGTGTGGCCTAGACTCCAGCACAGATGGTCGCATGAAAGCTGAGCTCCGCAAGTAACTGAATGTAAACGACAAAACCCGGCAGAAATAACAGAGACAATGGCATCAAAAAAGCAGCGCATTACAGCGGGAATATCTGCCACTACCTCTGCTTCTTCTAAATCATCCCTACAGAGATTTTTCTCTGAGCAAGCGGAGTCGGAGCAGAGTGCCAAAATGGCACCTCAGGCCGTACCGGCAGCCGACTGACAAGCCTGTTGACCTCATAGTGCTCCATTGAGGATATTGACCTCCGGTCACTCATCACAAAACATCCAGACATTTCTGCCATATTTCAGAGATTGGAAGACAGCATTGGGAAAAACGCCTGGGTGACAGAGTGCAGGCCCTGGAGGATGATGGTGAAGTGGCAGAACAGCAATGGTCTGAATGCCACACCACTCAGAATCTACACGTGGAGGCTATTTTATATTTACAAAAGAGGCTGGAGGATGTAGACAACAGAGGGCGGCGGAACAATCTGCGGGTGACGGGCATCCTGGAAAGCATGGAGGGAACCACAGAGGACCCTATGCAGGTACTAACAAGATCCTCTCTAGGTCTCTGGACACAGCCATTAAGTTTGACAAAGCCCACAGAGCAACCAGGCCTTGAAACCTGCCGCAAGATAAGCCTTGCGATCTTATATGTCATATCAATTTCCCACATCCATATCCACTTCCCACTGAAGGAAGAGATCTACCGGAGGGGCCCGTCAAACCAGTGAATTACAACATGAGGGCCACAGAGTGGCCATTTACCAGGACCTCTACCCAGCAACGCTTCTAGCCAAGAGAGCACCCCGGCCTATCACCCAATTTCTAATGGACAAACATATAAAATTCAGCTGGACTTTCCCTTTCGCCCTGGTGGTGACACAGCAGGGCAAAACCTACTCTATCAGCAAACCAATGAAGGTACCGGACTTCCTGCACTCCTTGGGCCTTCCACTCACCGAGTCTCTCAAACAACTACCTCAAAGTTACAGGTGACAAAGAACACCGAAAAAACGCAGAAGACAAGTCCCATATGGTACCCAACACCCCTCCACACCTAGAGCCAAGGTTGCATTAAGACTCTCTTAAGGGTGGAAGCATATATCCTTTGTGCTAAGTTAACTTGCAAAATTGGGGTACCCTCAGGTCCCCACTTTTTTAATATGTGATGCCGTTGGTTTCTGACTCCATTTTAGTATAATTGCTTGCGCCAAAGTAAACGTTGATAATATTTTAATCTGAAAAATGTAAGGTTTTCAGGGGCCTACGCTCCGGGTACAGTTCATGCGGTATAGATCGTGCTCATGCCGGTGGTATTCGCGAGATTCGTGGCACTACCAATGTGTCAGAAGCAACCATTCAATTCCCCTTACGGTAACTAGGCCCCCTAAGAGGTGCCCCCAACTACTTGTGGATACAACCACGTTTCCTACAGGTTTGGCATCATTCTCTCTGTCAGTATGAATAATTTAGATCATACTTATGTGTATAGTTTTTGTTCTTTGTCTGCCTATAGACGTGGGGCCATCAATACAGCGATAACTCTATCACGAACCCAAAATGGCCCAAGTTAAAGGGACACTCCAGGCACCCAGACCACTTCTGCCCATTGGAGTGGTCTGGGTGCCAACTCCCACTACCCTTAACCCTGCAAGTGTAATTATAAAAATTATAAAAAAACTGCAATAATTACCTTGCATGGTTAACTCCACTTCTAGTGGCTGTCTAGTAGACAGCCACTAGAGGCCACTTCCTTGTCCATAGCACAGAAAAAACACGCTGTGTGAGGACCTCCAGCGTCGCTCAATTCCCCATAGGAAAGCATTGAAAAACATTTTCAATGCTTTCCTATGGAGAGCTCTAATGCGGGGATTGGGAGGTGGGAGGGAGAGGGGACCTGCAGTGCCAGGAAAACAGATTGTTTTCCTGGCACTGAAGAGTCCCTTTAACCTACTGTCATTACATGAAAGAGGCCTCAATACCCCAGAAAAGTGTACCATGATGACACAAGAATTAGATAGATAAAAAGCAGATATAACGTTCATCCAAGAGACCCATTATAAGGGAGAATTTCAACCTCGACTCAGATCTAAATATATATTAAAAAGACATACTATAGCAACTACAGCAAGGGGAAAAATAGGGGAGTAGCCATACTGATGTTGTCATGCATTGCCTTCACAGAGCTTGACACCAAGATAGACCCCGGGGGGGGGATGTTGTTCGTCAAGGGGAAGGTAAATAACCAGCTAATTACCGTGGCGAATGTATATGCTCCGAATATGGATCAATTGGCCTTTGCTTGCTCATGCCTGAGAAAACTGGAAAGGTGTTCAGAGGGGATTCTTATATGGGGGGTGATTGAAATATGGTACATGACCATGCAGTAGACTGCTCATCCAAGGCCAAAGACAACAAGTCCACCAAAGAGCGTTGTTTCACGACACATTACAGTCACAACAACTAATGGACTGCTGGAGACTGCTACATCCACAGGACAGGGATTACACATTCTATTCCATCGCAGCGGGCAGTTACTCCAGATTAGATATGTTCCTCATTGGCCATAGACACCTCCATTTGGTACAAGGAGCATCCATAGGTAATATCTCCTGGACCGACCACACCCCTATATTTCTCACTATAAACACACAAGGTGACGCTAGACCCAACACCAACTGGCACCTGAACGAGCCTCTACTGGCTGACCCTCGGGTAGTGGATGATCTCCACACATTGAATAGGTACTTTGAAGAGAATAATACACCTGACACTACAGTCCCTTGGGTATGTGATGCACATAAGGGAGTCATTAGGGGAATCCTGATTAAATGGGGATCGAGGCTTAAAAGAGAGTGCACATCCAAGATCCAATCCCTCATTACAACCATTGACGATTTGGAGAACCTGCATAAACAGACCCCAACACGAGATAACTTTCAATACCTAACAGCACACAGGGGGGCACTATGGTCCCTATTAGCCATAAAAGCACACAGAGCAGTCCAACTGACAAGAAGCTCCTTCTATGCACATGGTAATAATAGTGGGAAGCTACTGGCAAGGGCCCTGAAGTCGAAACTCCAAAAGCCTTTTATAGCCAAGATATTAAATAGCAAGGGTCAGCAGTGCAACACCACAGAGGACATAGCCTCCACATTTGGATACCTCTACCATAACCTTTACAATTTTCCACCCCCGACCTGTAACCCCCTGGACCTACGGGAATTCATTACCTCAAACCTCACAGTCCCTAGCGTAACACCATTCTCTATAGAAGAAATCTCCGTAGCAGTTAAAACTATCCCCAAGGGCAAAAGCCCAGGACCTGATGGTCTGACGACATGTTACTACCAAACCTTTCAGTCTACCTTGGCACCACACCTCCTTAAGACTATAAATTTTCTGACCCCTGACTCCCGAACTCCACGTTTAGCCTTTACCACGCTGACCTCTACTATAGACAGAGGGGGTCTTGGCCTCCCGCATCTGTACAGATACTATGTGGCGGTCCTACTCACGAGAATAAAGGAATGGACAGCCACAGACAAGAAAAAACCTTGGTACGCCCTCGAACAGAGTTATGCAAAGGCACCTCTACACTTGCTCCCATGGCAAACATGCAATTTTCAGGCCCTCAACTCCACCTCACACCCTATAATAGCACACTCATTGGCGAAGGCACAAAACCACATGGAACTTGGCACCAGGGATATCCCCTTTTTTTCCCCTGGCAAACAACCCTGACTTCGACAAAGGACAAGATAGCACAATACCATCCCGACTGACGGGGGAACCGAACCCAGACATAACCCAGGTAATAACAGATGGAGACCCACCCAGGCTAAAGGATTTCCACAGACCGAATAAGCGTATGACACTGCTAGAAATCATGGGGGTAGCCCAACTGAGAAACTTTTTACATAAATCAGTCCTGCCATTCTGGCAGCCTAGTAACGAAACCCCCTTTGAGCTTTTTTGTGGCACAGGGCAGGACCACAGGCGTACCCTGTCAAAAATCTACCGTATTCTCCAAACAAGCTCTGTAGAACAGCAAGAGATCCAATTCCAGCAAAAATGGATGAGAGGTCTACACATCCATATGTCCAACCAAGACTGGACACACCTACTTGAGTCAGGTATTAAAGCCCCGGTCAGTATTTCCAGGAAAGAGGCCTTCTATAAGAGGGTCACCAGCAGGGCCGGACTGGGAAAAAAATTAGGCCCGGGCATTTTTCAATCAGAGCGGCCCCCTAAGAAGGGGGCGGGGCCAGATAGTGTGTGTTTTGTCATCACTAATGACAAGCAGGCCCCCTCTCAAAGTGAGCATGTTGGTTCAATGCCCAGAACACTGCTGAAGAGCTCTGGCATTAGAAAAAGGCCCTGAATTTGTTCTGCCCAGCGCAAGCAAATTTAATAACGTGCTTGCGCTGTGTTTGCTTTTAAATTGTCTCTGGTGTCTCCACAAGTGGGATACCAGAGGACAAAAGGGCCAGGAAAGTGTATGGTGCATATGTTTGGAGCCTGCTTGTGGGATTGCGTGTGTGTAGAGTGTGGTGTGGTATTGTGTAAATAGGTCAATTTCATTTGTGTTTGTGGTGTAATATGTGTGACAAGGGGCTGTAGAGAGTGTATGTATAGGGGGCATAGTTTTATAGGGGATGCAGCGAGTGTGTGCATACGGGCTGAAGTGTGTGTGTATAGGTGACGTAGTGTGTGTAGGGGTTGCAGAGAGGGTGTGTTTAGAGAATGTTGTATGTGTTTGCTGACAAGGAATGTAGTGTGTGTGTAGGAGATCTACTGTGTAAAGAACCCAGTGTGTGTGTGTGTGTGTGTGTGTGTGGAGGATTAAGAGTGCATATAGGGTAAGGGATCTAGTGTGTATCTGGAGCGTAATGTGTGTAGTGGTGCAGTGTGAGGGGTGCTGTAGTGTGTGCGTGTGTGTGTGTGTGTGTGTGTGTGTGTGTATATATATATATATATATATTTGGACTTATTGTATGTGTGAGGGGCGCAGTGTGTGTATGTAAGAGGGGTGCTGTGTGTGAGGGTGTTTTTATCTGCTGTCACATTCTAGGTTTCTAATTTTATGTGTGTGCTGTGTGTGTCTGGGTGCTGTGTGTGTCTGGGTGCTGTGTGTGTCTGGGTGCTGTGTGTGTTTGGGGGTGCTGTGTGGGTCTGGGGGTGCAGTGTGAGTTTGGGTGCTGTGTCTGGGGGTGCTGTGTGTGTCTGGGTGCGGTGTGTGTGTGTCTGGGTGCGGTGTGTGTGTGTGTCTGGGTGCGGTGTGTGTGTGTGTCTAGGTGCACTGTGTGTGTGTCTGGGTGTGGTGTGTGTGTGTCTGGGTGCACTGTGTGGGTGTCTGGGTGCACTGTGTGTGTGTCTGGGGGTGCTGTGTGTGTCTGATGCTGTGTGTCTGGGGTTGCTGTGTGTGTGTCTGGGTGCGCTGTGTGTGTCTGGGTGCGCTGTGTGTGTCTGGGTGCGCTGTGTGTGTGTGCGCTGTGTGTGTCTGGGGTGCTGTGTGTCTGGGTGCTGTGTCTGGGGGGTGCTGTGTGTGTGAGTGCGTGAGTGAATGTATTTTTAATTTAAATTTAAATATATATTTTTTATTAATAAAAAAAAAAATTATATCCCCCCCTCCCCTTCTTACCTTTATCCTGGGAGGGGGAGTAGATCCGTTCTGCCAGGGGTGCCATGAGGGGAGCCATGCTGCCTTCCCTGGTGGTCCAGTGGT